GAATGAGCATCACTATTCAGCCTGTCTGCACCTTCTGTGTCTTGCTCCTATTCATGGAATTATTTCCCTTCCCTTTCTCACAAATACCCGTTGCATTCACTTTGTAATGGGAACACTTTTTGGGTTTCTGCCTGAATCAGTGCTTCCCAAAAGGATATTCTTTTAGATCCCAAAGAAACACTTTTGCCTTTCACTTTGGCTATTTATTTATTTATTATTTTAATCCTCACCCGAGGATATTTTTCTATTTATCTTCAGTTAGAGTGGGAGGGAGAGACAGGGAGAGAGAGAGAAACCTTGACATGAGAGGGACACATTGACTGGTTGTCTCCCACACAACAACCGAGGTATGTGCCCATGGCCGGAATCGAACCCGCAACTCTTTAGTCTGCTGGCCAACACTCTAACCATTGAGCCAAACCAGCCAGGGCTGGCCCTTTAGTTTTGGGTTAACATTGTGACAGCAGATTTCGAGTCTTAAGCTTCATTAGGATTGGACCAGGGAAGCTCTCTGGGCAGGGAGGTACTCAGAGCCTTTGGGTACTCAGTGCGGTTGGCCTCCTCGTGGACCTCATGCAGAGCTGGAGCTTGAAACGGAGCAAAGATGAGACAGGGAAGTCACGGCTCAAGAATGCAAGTTATTCCACTGAGACATGTGAATGTTCTGAATAAACATTGCTAACACCACTGCTTCGTCCCGAGTGGGTCTGCCAGGCGCGAGGCTGCGGAGGGAATCGGCGTGAGCCTTGGCGCCTCGAAGCCGGGCTTAGCTCTGCCTCTGGTCGCTGTCTGCACTTGCTCTGGCCTCACCATTTCCGAGTCTCAGGCTCTTACCTTTACAACGGGAACAGCACTCCTTGAAAAAAAAAATCAACAAAATAAAAAGGCCACCTATTAAATGGGAGAAAGTATTTGCAAACCGTGTATTAAATCACAGGGCATCTTGAAGGCCAGGTAAGAGAACCTATGTGAATTGTCCAGACCTGAGAGTGATTTGAAAATCTGGAGGGAAGAGCATTAGGGGGAGAAGCCCAGGAGAGCAGCCACAGCCTATCTCAACAGGCTAACGAGAAAAGGCAAGGGATGCCAATAGTTTTTGTTACATTCCCCTCATTCCCTAATCAAACTCATGAGCCACACAGTCAGGGAACTTTGTCCTGCTTTAATCTTTTACTTAATTGTCATGGCAAGAGCACTGAGGTTTCTTCAGCTTTAAAAGTTACCTTTAGTCTTCCCATCTCTTTCCACCAGCAATAAAAGCCTTAAAGCAGAAAGCTCTAGGTGCTTTTCACAGATCAGCAAGGTGCGTGCAGTAGAGCTGAGCCCTGCCTTGAAATTCGAAAGAGGAGACCCTCGGTACAGTGAGGCCAAAAGGTGCAAGACGGGAACATGGAGCCTGAGTGGAGAATTAGGAGTTTGGAAGGCAGCTCTCCTGAATTCACAGTACTGTGGTCCCTCTGTCAGGAGGCAAACTCGCTCCATCACCTGAGGTTTAATTGTTAAATAATCCCTTTTGGAGCCCTCTGGCGGATGCCACACCAGGACCGGTGTGTAGCAACAGAAACAGGGACATGGAGGCACTGAGCTTGTTGAGAACTTTGAGGTTGGAGGCTATTGTTGTCTTGGGAGCTTTTAGTGTATATGATGCCCTAATGTAGGATAGACCCATTCACTGCCTTCTGGCTTCTGCTCACCTCTTGAACCTGCTCTCACTTAACTACAGCCACAGGGGCCTTGTTTGGAGTCTTTTGAAAAGGACAGCTAACTTTTTCCTCCCCTTGAGCACTGGCTTCTCATCTCCAGGTCTCATGTCACCTCCTCAGCGGGCAGCCTTCCCCGACCCCCTCGCTAAGTAAATGTAGCTTCCTCTGTGCCTCCCCAGCAACCTGTTCACGCGTTCATTGGAATCGTCTCACCTGCTTAGCGCAGCTCCTATTTTGTAATTATTTATTTATTTGTTTATTAGTTGTTGTCCCCAAAAGGCTCTAGGCCTCAGAAGACAGAGGCTGGTTTGCTCCCAGCAGGAAGCCCGCGCTTGGGTAGGCTGGCCCAGGGTTAGCGCGGGTAAATGTACCTGCAGTGCGCTGGTGGATGGAGCGTCCCTTACTGCCCGGTCACCTGAGCCGGAGAAGGTACACAGGAGACCCTGGGAAGGACTTCCACCAACTTTGGCTTCCAGGGGCGACAAAAGCAAAGTTTCTTAACCTAAACGGGTGTGGTCCCTTCAGGTATTTGATAAAACCAACCGGCCCTCCCGAAAGAACATAAGCATGCACACAGAATCCTAACGCCCAGGTAAAAACTCTAGACTTAAGAACAATCAAGGGGAGAAGGAGAGAGATTGGAGAACCAACACCAGTCTTGGGAGAGACGTCTTAAAACCGGATGTTTAAATTGCCCAGTGTCTTTTGACTGCATATCTGTATTCTGTATATAACGTAATAAATATACAAGCATGACGTCCATTCTAGCGCGGGCAAACCTTCCCTCTATCCGGGTTAGGGCCAGGGCCGCCGGTAGTTTCCGCAGGTGTATGGGGAAATCTCTTTGCAGGGTCTGGTAAACGTTTGTCGAATGAATGGACACTTTGGGCGCGGCAGAATCAGGAGAGCGGCCCCCTCGGGCCTCCCGGCGCAGGGATTGCTAGCGAGGACCCCGCGGCCTGGCGCCCCCGCGCGGGGCAGGCGGGGCCCGGGCGCAGCGGCGCGAGCGCAGGTGGACTGGCACCTGCAGCCGCCAGCGCGGCGCGGGGCGGGGCGGGGCGAGCTGCGGGGGGGGGGGGGGTAGCGGGAGGAGCGGGAGGGGCCGGAGGGCAGCCGACGGGGAGGAGGAGTCTGCAAACTTTCAGTTCGAGGGCATTGTGGGAAGCAGCCGCGGTCGGAGGCGGATGCCTCACCTGTCAGCCGCGCCGGCTGCTGCCCTCGGCTCTCGCCCTCCGGTGCACCGCGCTCGCCCCTGGGCGCTCGTCAGGCTGGCGCGGCGGCGGCCCGGTCACCATGGTGAGTGCAGGCGATCGGGGCGGCGGCGCTGACCCGGGGTGCGCTCTCCGAGAGGCACCTGCGGAACCGGGCCGGGCGCGTCGCTCGGTGAGGGAGCTGCCAGGTCCTGCCGGAGTCCCTGGCCGGTCCGCACCTGTGGCCCCGCCGCCGGGACGGTGCGGACGCGCCCAGGCACCAGCATGCCAACCAGGGACTATAGCGGCTGCCCGGCGCCGCTGCTTCATTCATTCGACCAACGTTTGCTGAGCACTTAATCTGCACCAGGCATGGTGCCAGGCGCTGGGGGCATCGCGGGGACCAGATGGGGACTTGGCTGTCTGGGGTTCACATTCTAGGAGGGAGGTGTGGCTGGAGGGAGACGTGTAATACACCAGTAACATAAAGATAACCTCTGAACGTCAGTGCTCTGCCGTCTCAGATACAATGGCATGGAGGGGTGGAAAGGCAAGTGTGCAGAGTGGGCTTGCATGCCGGAAAGGCCTCTCGGCGGCGGTGGTGACATCTGAGCTGTTGGAGGTCCTGGAGGGCCTAGCCTTGGTGGGAGCAGGGAGAGCAGAGGCCAGGGAGAATCAACCCTTGCTTGTAGCAAGAAAGGTAGATGGACCAGATGAGGCAGGGCCTCATAAGTTAAGGAGTTTTTGATTTTTATTCCAACTGAGTCGGGGATCCTTGGGAGCGGTTTAGCAGGAAAAGTAACCTCATCGCTTCTATACATTTAAATATCTTTTTGATGGTTGGTGAAGAGTAGACTGGTGTGTGTGTGTGTGTAGGGGTGTCAAAGTGAAAACAGGGAGACCAGTTGCAGTGCTACAGGTGACAGGTCCTGGTGGCTGCTCTTGAGTGGAAGCCACAGCTTCAGGTGCATCTTGCTCTCTTCTGCCCAGAGAGCGTCTTGAGAGTGCAGTGGCCTCAACTGCACCAGACCCACTGCCCCAGGTGAACTCACTTCCTAAGTCCAAGAAGAAACAAAAGTGACCTGCACGCCCCTGGTCTCTCTGCTCAACTGGCCACTCATTGCAGGCAGGACGGGAGGACCACGTGGGTTCAGAAAGTTGATGGACAAGGAGAGCTGTGGAGAGCTGAGCCCCTGGACGGGAAGACCACAGGGGCCAGTTTCTAGAAGAGCAAACTGCACAGACAAGAGGCGCTGCTGCTCTTGTTGAGCGTTCCTTGTAAATACAGCGTGATGCAAAAGGAGGCTGTAAATAATGGAGCAGCTCTCTTGGCTTGCTCAGGTTTCCCAAGGAACAAGGTGACAGTGAGCAGTGCAGCCCGCCAGCATCATTTGCCGAATGGAGGGCAGCAAGAGGCCCTGGAGTTTCTGAGTAGCAAAGGACTGCTTCCATCCCAGGGGCTGGGCAGGGTCCATGCCCGAGACAGCACCTGCCGTGGAGGTGTCTTGTGTCTTATTTTCAGTTGATCAGCAATGTGCGAAAGTTTCCCTAGGTTTCCACCAGATCTTGCCCAACAGGAAATATTAACGTTCTCGAGCACTTGTGATAGGCCAAGCGGGATGTACCCTTTGTATTCATGATCTCAATCCTTGTAACAACCAGATGAGGACAACTATTATACTCTTTTCCTTTTACCTCCTCGGACCTGTTCTAGCAGTTTGTCCTTGGATAAGCCCTTGACCTTTCTGTGCCAGTTTGCTCATGGAGATAATTGTTCCAACTCGTAAGGCAGGGGTTCCTAAAGGGCAGGCTGGGTGCCCTTAGGACTCCCTAAGACTTTTCAGAGGGCTGCGAGGCCAAACACATGATAGTATCTTCCCTGTTCATGTCCTTTCCCATGTTGCTGTACATGGAGTTTTCTTGAGGTGAATATGAATTTGACAATGACCTGGGATAGAGCAGCCGAATGAATGCAGAAGCAGCTGGGAGAGTCCAACTGCCTTCTGTTGAGCCAGAAATGCCCGACATGCGCCAAAATGTAACGGGGCCACTCCTCTCATGAACCCCCCCTTTGGAAAATATTGTTACTCTTCATAAAAAGTTATTTCTGTTAGTGTGTAATAACTTTACTATTTAAAAAAAATGAACTGGTAAATTAAAAATTTTTTCTCTGTTGAAACGTGTAATATATGGCTACAATCGACACAAATAAAAATTGGGGCAGGGACTGTTTATTTTTAAAACTGTAAAGGAATCAGAGACAGGTTCTGTGAGTTAATGAAGATGAAAGTGTACAGAACAGCTTCGCCCACTGTACGAGCTCAGTGACTATGATGTCTCATCTGTTTTTACTGTCACATGGTAGAAAAGAATAAACGGCCCTCCCTGTTGCCCCACAGAGCGAGGCTTTTTGGCAAGGGCCACTTTGTAACCCCTGGTCTTTGTCCCACTCCGTTCCTGACTCTTGCCAACCCTTGCTCTAGGGAACCGGAAGGTGCTTATAGCATCCCACCAGGAATGTGCGCACTGGGAACGGCTCCGGATTCCACTGTACCAGTGATCCAGGTTCCTAGCACAGAGATGTCATACCTCGCGCACCTTGGAGCTGTGTTTGTGTTTGGATCATACTCTCTGAATCAGCTCTGTACTACTGCGCCCTGCCTTTGTTTTAGAAATCTCTGCCTTGGAAAGCAATGCTGGGCTTATTGTGTTTCAGGGGCTCCAGCCCAGAGCACTTACACGTCTCACTGGGAAGAATCTGCTACTGAATGGTGAGATGTCGATGGAAGAGTTTTCTCATCTGTTTCTTTCTTTCTTTTTTTCCCTGTAAGAAGATAGCAGTGAGGATTTATAGGGTGAAGTTTAAAAGCCTTTGGGGAAACCATTAATAAAAATGCAAGCAGACTTTGCTTAATGCAGGCCACATGCTTCTGAAAAGCTGAGGTGACTTTTAAAACCACGTTGTGAACAAAACAGGAGAACTGCCCATTGAAAGAAACCCAAATGGAAAGCCCTTTTGAGAGATGAGTAATCATCTTCTTGTGTTGCAGATCCAGTTCTCGTAATCTATGTTATTTATCTCAACTGAGATAGACAGATGCTGAAAATGTCAGAGATTTCTTGGTGTGATTTGAAATCTTTAGAGAGACCTTCCGAATCTGAACTGAGCAGCCGTTTCGTTCCCAGAATCCACATTAGTTTGAAGCAGCACGAGAGCACCCTTCTCCTAAATGAGACCATTCCATTTCCCATGTTCACTGCAGTCTCTTTATATTACACTGACATACGAAAGATGAAAAGGAAGAGAGTGAGGGGGGAGAACCCCAACTCTGGACCTTTAGATCCTGCCACAAGCCCCCGCCCCACCCAGTAAATATTAATTTTACTGTCTGAGGCATAAGTGGATTGTAATCAGTACGTAGTTATTCGGGCAGTTTAAGTTTCAGTCTGAGGGTGAAATAGTCTGTTACTGTAATGAGCACTTTCCTCCCCTTGGGGCCTGGTCTGGGCTGCTGGCCAGCGGTTAGTGTGGGGGTCAGGGGGGTGGGAATAGGGAGGGAAATGACCCTTTGTGGTGTTCAGCTGTCCCGAGAGGGTTCACCCACTTCCCTTCCCACAGATCTCCCAACAACACCAGGGAAACTTGTATTTGCCTCTCGCCAGGACTGTTACTTCTGAGTTCCCATTACTTGTTTTTATGACAAATACTGACAATAGCTTACAATTTTTTATGTGGCATTTTATTAACAACAGCCAAAAGGGAATGGTCAGCACACTGGCTGTGTGCCGCTCTGTATTGTCAATACTTGTCCCTTTGGGTCTCCTGAATTATTTCATTATGGACAGACATAATAAATAAAGTGACCCTCTCCCCTCTCACACAAATAAAGAAAATCCCTTTAGGAGCCCCCAAAGATATGCATTTCTTGACATCTCTTTGAATCATTTCTTCATTTAAAAGATTATTATAGTTGGCATACAATATTATACTACTTTCAGGTGTTCAACAGAGTAATTTGACATTGATATACCTTATGATATGATTACCACAGTAGGTCTAGTAACTATCTGTCCCTGTAAAAAATTATGGTATTCGCTATATTTCCTGTGCTGTACATTACACACTCATGGCTTATTTATTTTATAAGTGGAAGTTTGTCCTTCTTATTCCCCTTTACCTTTTTCACCCATCTCCCCCCGTCCCCTCTGGCAACCATCAGTTTGTTCTCTGTAACTCTGATTTTCTTTTTAAACTTATCTTTACTGTTGTATTTGCCTCTTTACAGAGGTCCCTCCTTTTTTTGCCTCCTTGACCCCCTCCTCCCCACTCCCACCCCACTCCTGCCTTCCCCACACTATTGTCTGTGTCTATTGCTTGTGCATATATGCATATAAGTCCTTTAGTTTCTCTCTACTCCCCCACCTCCCCTCTTCCCTTTGAGGTTCCTTAGTCTAACAACCAATTTGTATTTTTTAATCCCTTCATCTTTTCACCCAACCCCCCTCCCTTCTGGCCACCAATTAGAAGTTCTCTGTATCTATGAGTCTGTTTCTGTTCTGCTTGCTCATTTTGTTTGTAGATTCAATTTTTGATAGATATGTACTTATTGCCATTTTATTGTTCATATTTTTTTTATCGTCTTCTTCAAGAAGACCCGTCAACATTTCGTATAATACTAGTTTGGTGGTGATGAACTCCTTTAGCTTTTTCTTGTCTGGGATACTCTTTATATGGCCATCAATTCTAAATGATAGCTTTGCAAGATAGAGTAATCTTGGTTGTAGGTCCTTGCTTTTCATCACTTTAAATGTTTTTTGCCACCCCCTCCTGGCCTGCAAAGTTTCTTTTGAGAAATTGCCTGACATCCTTATGGGAACTCTGTTGTAGGTAACTAACTGCTTTTCTCTTGCTGCTTTTAAGATTCTCTCATTGTATTTAACCTTTGGCATTTTGATGATGATGTGTCTTGGTGTGGGCCTCTTTGGGTTCATCTTGTTTGGGACTCTGTGCTTCCTGGGCTTGTATATCTGTTTTCTTCACCAAGTTAGGGAAGTTTTCTGTCATTTTTGTTTCAAATAGGTTTTAAATTTCTTGTTCTCTCTCTTCTCCTTCTAGTTCCCCTATGATGTGAATGTTGGAATGCCTGAAGTTGTCCCAGAGGCTCCTTACACTATCCTCATTTTCTTGGATTCTTTTTTCTTTTTACTGTTCTGATTGGGTGTTTTTTGCTTCCTTATATTCCAAATGAATGGTTTGCTTCTTGGCTTCACATACTCTACTATTGATTCCCTGTAAATTATTCTTTATTTCAGTTAGTGCCGCCTTCATTTCTGACTCGTCCTTTATTATCCTCTGGAGGTCCTCACTAAGTTCCCTGATGTTCTCATGAAGTTCCTTGAAATTCTCATTAGGTTCATTGAACGTCGTTATAAGCAGTGTTTTGAACTCTGCATCTGTTAGATTGCTTATCTCCATTTCATTTAGTTCTTTTCCTGGAGTTTTGTTCTGTTCTTTCATTTGGGACATGTTCCTTTGTCTCCTCATTTTGCCTACCTCCCTGTGTTTCTTTCTATGTATTAGGTAGAGTTTCTGTGTCTCCTGGGCTTCCTAGGGTGGCCTGTTGTAGTAGGTGTCCTGTAGGGTCCAGTGGCACAGCCTCCCTGGTCATCCAGCTGGGCCCTCGTGTGGACTTTATATCCTTCTGTTGTAATAGAATCTTGATTGCTGTTGGCACATCAATGGGAGGGTTTTACTCAGGCTGATCAGCTGCAAGGACTGGCTATGCCCAGTAACTACTGACCTCTGACTACCTTGGAAGACCAGCTGTGTAGGGGCCACCATACAAAGCAAGGCTTACTTCAGCAGGGCTCTGGTACCCACTGAGTCCATTCCTTGAGTGTGTCACTTGTGGAGGTGGTTGGGTGGTGGTGCTTCAGCGTGGTCTGAAGCTGTCCACCGGGTGTGCTGGCTCTGGGGCAAGGTCAGCTTCGCCTGTGTTCTATCTGGGACCACCCAGCATAAGCTACAAAGCGATCTGCAGATGGCTGCTTCTTGTGCAAGGCTTGGAGGTGCCCAGGCAAAGCGAAGCTGCGAACCAAGGCTGGCTGCTTCTGGTGTCAGGCCTGGGGCCAGTTAGCTAGAGGTATGGGGCTTGCCGTGGCCTGATGTTGCTTGTTTCAGAGAATTTAGGAAAATCTGAAGCAGGAGTCAAAACAGGCCAATCCTATGGTAAAGCCTTTGGAAACAGCTTGGTGGGTCCAAAGGTTGGGTGGGGCAGGGCCTCAGGGAATCACCAGGGCGGGGCAGACAGGTTGCTGGAGTCCTAGATATGGCCGCCATCTGCCTGCCCTGTGGGGGAAGGGCTCACCAAAGGAACCAAAGGGTGTGGGACCAGCTGGGGCCTCCCCCAGCTCGTCTGTCCAGGGGAAAGCTGCCTCTCCAGCCCTCTCCCCAATGCCAAACAATTCAGTTCTTCCCCAAATGTCTCTGGTGCCTTTCAAACTGCCTCCCCTCCACACTGGAGCTCAGAGGGACTGGGTCTGTGTAAGTCCAAGTGCGGGCCCTTTAAGAGGAGCTGCCTGGAGCTCCAGCCGCCGCAGCCTCCTTCAGCCTCAGTTCCCGCTGGGTTTTCAGCCAGAAGTGATGGGGATTCTCTTCCGGCACTGGCACCCTGAGCGGGGCACCTGGTGTGGGACGGGGACCCCTCAGTCCCAGGGAGGACCTTCCCAGCCCAGGTATCCCTCCTGGTTTTTATCCGCCACACGTGGGTGTGGGCCCAGCCCGTCCCCTCCCGCTCCTACCAGTCTCCATGTGGCTGCTTCTCTCGTTTTGTAGTTGTGGGACTTCATTCAGCTCGATTGCAGGTGGTTCTGAAGGGTGTTTGCTCTGTAGTTTAGTTGTAGTTTTGATGTGGTTGTGGGAGGAGGTGAGGACTGTGGTTACCTACGCTGCCATCCTGACCGGAAGTCCTGTATCTGTGACTTTCAAACAGAACAGAACAGAAACGAACTCCTTGCATTTCTGTTGTTACTATAGCCAGAGACTGCCCCAGAGATCTGAAACTTCACTGAGTTCCTCCTTCCCTGGGCCTGTCCGTGCCCCTCAGAGTCTCCCTCCCAGGTAGATCTTATTCTTCTCTGATGGAATTCTTTGTTTCCCCTGAAATGTCCCAGCCATTTACCCAGGACAGACTCCCTGATCACCCTTTGAAGCCCCAGATCCTGGGATGGGATAAAATGTATGCAGATACCGAGGCAAATGCCCCTCAAATTCTCTCAGTGGGGTACTAAACTGTCATGCCAGGACCCTGCCTAGGAAATTGCTTACTGCATGGCTGCCAGTAGCGGAATACATTAAGAGTTTATACTGCAGATTGTTTAAGTTAGAAATGAAATGCCATTGACCCTTATGAGGAAGGTGGACTCAAAAAAAAATCTTCGATAAAGTTCCAAGTCTGAAAACTTTCTGACAGATAGATCTGGTGATGAGATAGCTCTCTCGGAATAGTTTCTAAAAACTGCCTGGGAAAAAAATAATACAACCACTTATTAGTCTCTCAGTCCACTGGGGCATAGACCTCAAGTACATACAGTCAAGAATAAGGGCATTCAGGGTTCTATTTTAAATGTCCTTGCCCAGCAGGACTGCAGGGCTGATAAGAAGTGATAAGTATGTGGGGAGGTTCAGTGGACACTAAGATGCTCCCAGGGGCTTCCTTCGATCTGAGTCTATAAGGAGGAGGAACTAAGGTCATGACTTGCAAACTGAGGT